GTGCGCCTCATGGTGGACAACCTGTTAAATATGAAATTCTTTCTTTGAGTCAGGGCTTCAAGGTATTCATGGCTAAATGGAAAATGACACATTATGTAATTTTCCATTTCACCAAAGAGAGATAAAACTCATGAGAAGACAGGAGTGAATGTGGGAGTGGGGCATTGGGAGACTGCATATTATAATAGTTTTTTTTGTCAATATTAAACCAAACAGTAATTGGAAACTTACTGGCTTGGTCTCTCCCCAATAGATTTATGTTGATTTAGTTATTGTCTGTATTGCTCCCTCACTAGGGGCCCTTATCAGCATTTGCAAATGGAGGGATTGAAAACTTTGTATCAGTATCACTATATGAATCTCCAAGGTGTAGCTTCTAACAATAATGACATGTGCACACTGCACCTGAAGCTTTTAAATAGTGATACTGAATATTGCTCATCACCTTAGATCAAAGAGTAATGAAAGAGCCCATGACAAAAGGACTTACCTTCATGATATTGGTCACTATGAAACATTGCAGCTGAGGATTCAAAGGGACTGGATGAGATGAGGGGAAATTTCTTCCAGTTTTTGCTAGCCATCCTCAGTTTCTTCTCAGTTTCACTCAACTAATGATAAAGAAGATTAAACATGTTTCCATGAGTCATGAAGACACACATAGACTTATCAGAAACATAGCATGCTTCAAAGCATGTTATGAATTTATACAGTTTCAAGCTTTTGTACAACAAAGCCATCATCTACAGAGATCTATCAACAATCAGCCAACCATTAATCATGGAAGCTCTAGCTTTATAGGGTGGTTCAAAAAAAAAGTTTCTACAATGATTATAAAAAGCTCCACCATTTTGATGGGCCATATAAGAGGTGCAGAAAAGATTGTCTTGTTTTATTTCTGAATAATTCTCTGAGCCATGTATTGTCCTGTTACACAGTTTACAGGTGGAGCATTACACATTTTTTTAAATCACCATTGATCACTCGGTTAACAGCAGCACCCTCTATTGGGATACAGTGTCATCTTGCAGAAGTGAAAATGGTCTCTTAAACTTATGAACCTCTGTCAAATATCTGCTGGATCCAACTGTCCCTGGAAAAGTTAACGCTGAAAAATTCATTGATTTCTGAGACGATTGAGCACAGGTAATCACCTCACTTGTGGTGGAATGATCCACCTCTAAGCACCTATAATTCACTTCTAAATGGGCATTGCACGAATTAGGCAGGGATGCTGAAAAAAAGCTGGTAAGCACTTCAACACCTTGTAACTCTCAAATATCGATTGTGTATCCAATGTAATTTTTTTTTCTACATTTAAGAACCTGTGTTTCTCCCATAGAAGACAGCAGAGCATTTTTTTTAACCACCGTATATAGTAAATACTATACACTCAAAACTTCCACAGTTGGAAGGAATTGGGTGTAAAATACCAGCTCACCCTTTGGCGAACTTCATCCATAGACTGGAAGATACCATTGACATCAGACAAAGATGGACCCTCAAGAGGTCGTGAGAGTTCCCATGCAACAGTGCGTCTCCAGGAAGGATCCTTTCGCCTTGCCATTATGTGAAATCTTAATCATAAACAGCTGAAAGAAAAAAAAAAAGATATACTAAACATTTTTGCAAAAGAAATACTTTGGTTTTGGAATGGGTTCTATATAGGGCTGTACCAATGTATCAGCTAACTCCAATATTGGCCGCTGGTGTTGCACTATTGGCACCATCGGCCTATGGCAACAGTGCTGGTGTTGATGCCCAAAGGATGGGTGAAGCGAAAAAAATTACATGAAGGTGTGAACCGGTCCTCCTGTCTCACTGAAAGTCACTCCTGCCAGCCTCTCATAGACAAAAATATCAACCAGATTATAGGAACTGGCAGAGGAAAGTAGCAGTAAAGGATGGGAAATCATTGCATCTCCATTTACGTCATGCTTTTGCAAGTGATGTGTCACTAAATGCTCTCAATGGCAGCAAAGGGTAACAAGCTAACCACTGACAGCCTTATAGAGAGACAAACTGGAAAGGACCAAAAATGGTTTCTATCATTTCAAGGCCTACTGTATCACATGGCTTCCAATTAGACCTACTAGAATTCATAGTGATCTCATCTACAGGTCACAATCGGCACCAGCAACAGTACAGCCCTAGTTCTATAGCATAGCCATAGCAGTTTTTAGTATGAATGTGTGACTATTTTAGCTCCAATAGAAGTCATGCATTTATGAAAATGTCATGGGTATGACTGCAAGTGCAAGTGACAGCTAACCAAATAAACAAGGGACATCAGAGTGATAGCCATTCACAGCAAGGATGGAACTGTTGGATGGCCTCATTCATTCAGAGAGTTCATCATAACATACATGGTCCCAAAATTAATGCTCAGGCTTAGGCCAAGGCTGACCTACAGGAATGCAAGTGGTCAAGTTGGGAAGTAGCACAACAAAGAGATCATAAATCACAGGTTAGTAAATCTCATGAGCACATTTAGACAATGCTTTATTGCTGTAGGAGTCAGGAATGAGAGCAAACTATGGTCACATTTTAGGCAAAGCAATATCAGCAGACTACTGCTCAGCAGCTGGCTCAGCAGCAGCTTAACAAATATGCCCAGCATTAATACTTTTCTCAATGCCTAAGTTCACACACCAAATAAGTCACCTTCCTTTGTATTTTAGCCTAGGGCCATAAGGAAAAGATATCATCAGAACATCAGTGATCTGGGGCCAGTTGCACTCCCTCAGTTAAGTTGGACTTTTGCACAAAGTCGGACTTTTCTTTGGGAGTCAGTTTTCCATGCTTCCTAAGTCTGACTTTACTAAGCCAGTGCAACTGACCCCTGGTCCGATCTGGGCCCCCTCCCCCCTCCCCCCCCCCTCTTGACCACCACATTTTGCCAAGATGGAGCGTAGCTGAGTCCTATGAGAAATCCCAATTGAACAACTTCTTGGAGCATACATCATTCAGTAGCAACACAGCAGAAATAGACCCATGATAGAGATACTAGGTCTATGCTAATGGAGAAAGGTGTAGTTTTGGAAGCTTGCTGTTATGTGAGTGTAAGGCACAAGACTACTATAAAAAGTGGCACTTAATGACATTATGCCCTTAAAAGACTCACTTTCTTGTCTTGATATTAACACTCTTTCGGGATTACTTTGATGCCAACATGCTATGTGCTTATTATAGGCCCAGCAGAGGCAAGGCCTGCAACAAGTACACAGCACATTATTTGTTGGAGTATCAGAGCTAAATGAAAAAACCTGTAGACCTAAACCAATACTTAATTTTAAAAGCAAATACAAACCCTAAGCTCCTTTTACACTGTTTATAGGTTTAATCCAGGGCAAACCCCTTCCCTTCCCTTCCCTTCCCCCAGGTACCTAGCTTCCTTGCAGCCCTCATCCTGTGCAGACCTCTTTTTCATATAAAAACCAATCATTGGACTTCCTGAGTGCTTGGAACTCAGCTGAAACAAATGAAAAAGTAAACAAATAAAAGTAAGGGAGGAGGTGAGGTTTGAACTCTAAAATATGTGACTTTTGCCAGATAGAGGCTCAGATTCTTTGAACACCTTTTGAGATCATAATTGTTCTATGGAGTGTCACAGCAAGTATATACACACTGTAGAAGGAGGCACAAAGTCTGAAAGTAGCAGCTAGGGGGGGAAATGGGAATAGCAAGAATGGAATAAAAATGAGACAAGAGTGGTGCCATGGAAGCAATTGATATTGAGAGGGGGGGAAGGTATTGACTTAAGTCCTGAGCTGACAAAAAATAGTTGTAATCTTGAGTCTTTCTAACAGGTAGGGCTATTGGTGGCTCTCTGAAGCTTTACTGTAGGGAAAAAGGTATAGCAGAGTTTTTCACAAATTCTTTTTTAATTTTTTCCATTTGAGGCATAAGCCATTGTTCTGCCAGCATTCGCTCGCAAAGGAAGGGGAAGGGCTGACAGTAGATCGATTATGAGAATAGTTACTATGCTCATGTGAACAAATTTGGATCTCGGGGCAACTCTGGATAACGTAATTACGCGAAAGTCGACCCGTGCATGAATTTGGACGGAATTCCGGTTCACTTAACGGACCTCACCATTATAATGACATACTGCCCTCTGTGCCATCTTCGAATCCATGTTTTAAGCGAACCTTAAAATGTGTCTCGTAGAGAATGCATCGTTGTTAATCCATATAGTCAACCGGAAACGAGCTCCTTAAATTACATCATTCTTACTTTAAGTGAGGCACGCTGAGATCATGATTACAAATATCCCTGGTATATATTACGTTGTGGTACTTACTGGTGGCTCTAAACGTTGATGGTCGTAAATATAGTGTTCTAAGGTAACTGAAGAGTATGCTGTAAGAAATGGTTACATCATTATGTTCTTGGAATTCGATATTTTAGAGGGTCGGTTTTCTGGACCGAATTGCGGTGAGGGTCTCTGAAAGTCGATCCCTAGTCGTAGGCATAGGCAAGTGAAGCACATGCCTAAGGTCGGGAATTCTGCATTCATATGTACAACACCACTTCTCTAGTTGTGCTAACCGTACATGTATCTTTCCATGGTCAGCCTAAGATCTATATCAAAGGCCATGGATATTCTAATCAAGTTTGATTGTCAAGCAATATCCAGCTAGTCCCCCTCTTTGAACCTCCCTCCTGGAGGTACCTCTCAGGCAATTATGCTGGGAAATCAAGTTTGACTGTCAAGCAATATCCAGCTAGTCCCCTCTTTGAACCTCCCTCCTGGAGGTACCTCTCAGGCAATTATGCTGGGAATATGCAGTCTGTCCAAAATCGGTCGTTCCTGGCTCTGCAAGCCAACACGGCGAGCGGCGTGCGCGTATAGAGGCTTGCTAAGACCTTCACGCCGGGTGGTGGATGCTTAGTGAGGCTAGGAAGCACAATCACAGGCCCGACTTTGAGGAACCGCAGGGTCGGCTTTCGCGCCGTTGGTTCGATTCATGCGTCCAAATATATTATTGCATTTCAATGCTTTTTGCGATATCATTACTAATGATGCAACGGCTTTCAAGTTGATATTGTAGATCACAATCCAAATTTTACAGATAAACGCAAAAACACACTCACGACCCTGCGTGAAGCATTCGTTCAGTATGGAGCCTCTCTTGTGCAGCACGTCATTGTACTAAGGAAACGGGCTCGAATTTCGCGTAATTACTATAATACTAAATATGGTCTCTATTGGTTTTAGGAGCCCCCTGACAAGTATCACATGACTTCCAATTAGGCCTATTTGAATTGGTATGCAATTTCGTGTTACTTCCCAATTTTCAAACAATCAGCACCAACACTGGCCATAGGTGGTCATCAGTATAGCCCTAGTATATATTAAAGTGAATTGGTACAAATAACATTTACTTTCAACTTTGGTCTCATCATTTTTACAGGTTTTGCATGACAGAGAACAAAAGCACTCCATCCCTGTAAATTTCTGAAACTAGGGCCAATTCAACAACTCAATTGGACCCAACATGCTCACCACAAAGAGTAGATTGAAGATGAAGAGAAGAAACTTGATGCACTTCATTCCACCCTCTGCCATGTTGTACTGTTCTTATACTGCTTCACTTCAGTGGAAAAATATGTAAACTAAGTAAGTAATATTTATCCCTGCAAGAAAGCAATTAAATTAAATTGCAGGCATAGATTTAAGTCTATATTGTATAGCCTATATTGTACTCACATAAGTTTTAAAAAAATAGGCTCTCAAATTACCATGTACAATCAGCATCAGAGCAGTCATAAACATACAGCAAATTCATACAGCTACCATGACATTTAGGCAAGTTCTAAACGTGAAGATTTATTCACGTTTAGAACTTAGAACCATATACAACTCTAAAGAATATTAGATTCACAAAAAAAATTGGAAACATTTAAGGGGAGAAATTTTCTCATTTTTGGTGAAATTTTCACTTTTTCAGATTCTCATCATTTTCAGTAGAAAAACACATATGTAAAATCTAGAGCTGTCACGATAGCAGTTTTCAAAACATCGATGCATCGACCTGAACTATCGATAGTGTATCGATGCATCGGGTGGGGGGGGGGGGGGNTGGTTTGCTGAAAGCTCGATTTAGGAGTCTCAGCCGCAGTAATGGAACTGTCAGTCAGAAACTTGGAGCATCAATGTGTCGAATGAAAGGACTCAATCCCCCTTCAGAGGCAGAACGGACTTAAGAAAAAGAAAAGAAAAAGTTTAGATTTAGATGTTTCGAGAAACACCACCTTCTAATCTAATTCTAAACTTTTTCTATTCTATTTTTTTTCTAAAAGGGTCCGTTTAAGAAAAGAGTTAGCAAAGATTTAGAAGCATTGAGAAACTGGCCGGTCAACACCGTGTAACTCCTCGAAACTGAGCTGATTAACTGGAACTGCGAGGTCATTATAAAGCTCTACCCACTTTATTCTGTTGCGTAATTTAGAATCCTGTAAATAGCAGCCTGACTATGAACTTTGTCGATCGTGCTTCTGCATAATGAACCTGTCCGTAGTCCACCCATGTGCCAGACAAAACGTCCAAGTACAGAAACTGCCATACTGCTTTGAGCTTATGACTAAGTACCGTCTAGATGGTTTCATGTCCTTAGAGACATCCAGTACCAACGCCTTGAATTTAATCACATGCGCAACCATAGTTTTCACTGCAGTTATCGTGCAATGCATTAGACATACGCTGCAATTCTGTTGATGTCAGGAGCGTAAGCATCAAGTCATCGGCTCAGAAAAGGCAGTGCATGCTCAAGTTCTGCAACTCAGGAGCATCGTTGCCAAAGTCAGGTCATCAGCCAGGATGGTAATTAGGTTTTCAGAGCAAAGGGGAGGGAGTGACGGACAGCAGCTAAAAGTAGGTAGCTAATTAATAGCGACGCATATCCTTTCGAGCAATGTCCGTTTCTTTTTAGGCAAATGTGAGCCTTGTTTTGTTGTGCATCTTGTGTCACAGTACCGCAACATCTGTACCCACCGATACATAGTGCTTTGCGGCAAAGTTGATCCACCATGTACAGCCCGAAGTTGATGCATCAAGTCCATCGCTGGTACATTCGCCTAGAATTCCATGACGGCGCGCTGCTTTCTTTTCTTGTACACGTTTTCTTACGTTGCTCTTTCCTGCTGACGCAATACGCAGTGCACTTACTCTCGGGTGATTGAGATCCATGTCAAAAGAACATATACAGAGTTGTCATAAAATAAGAGGTAAACTTTAACCTGCAGTAACTACGGAATGGCTTGACAGAATCCCCTTATATNTTTTAGGGTAGGCCTAACCCTCTTAAAGCTAAATATTTTTTTTTTGTTATTTGCCTATCGTAGTTGCTTACTGTCTAGTACCTAACGTCAATATTGCCCCCCACCGTTTTGCCTGTCCATGAAAGCATCTAGTTTCTTCTTAACACGTTGACGACCAGCCTATTTTTGCTTGTCCGCCGCGTGGGACCACGCGCATTTTTTTTGTCAAAAAATGCGTCCTGCCATCAGGACGCATGGTCCCAGAAAACATTTTTTTTGCTGAGTTTTTTTTTAATGTTGAATTTTTTGGAATTTTTATCAGTAATTACGAAATCATAATCTTCTGGAACGTTCTCAACAGTTCCAGAGGGTATTCATTGAAAAAAAATCTGCATCCTGGCATCAGGACGCATTGTCGCCAACGTGTTAAAGATAGTCACAGAAGGGGCAGCCACTACTTCGTCATCTAACGCATTCCACGCGTTCACCACTCTGCAAGTAAAGAATTCCTGTCTCGACCTGAGCGGTTTGCGCAACTTAAGTTGGTTACCTCTCGTTCTCTTGCCGCCATCAAACTCAGGAGTCAGGAGAGTTAGTGATATCAAGAGGCGATTTCGCCCATTTCGAAATCACGTGTCGAGGTCGAGCGTTCCTTAATTTTAGGGTAGGCCTAACCCTCTTAAAGCTATATATGGAAAAACCTACCACACTCGACATTATCTATTCCTTTAATTATCTTGAAAGCCCGGACGGATGGCCCCTCCTTAACCTTCGTTCGAGCAAGTACAGTCCCAACACATCTAAACGCTTCATGTATGATAGTCCCCTGATCTCCTTAATCATTCTTGTGGCCCTCCTCTGTACTCCCTCGAGCGCCAACAAATCGCCCTTATTTGTAGGCCTCCAAAACTGGATGCAATGGATGGAAAGGGGGAGAGGATCGATGGAGAGGGGGATAGAGGAAGAGAGATACTATCATGAGCAGGGGTTAGGGGACTGGGTGTTCAGACCCCTTGAACCCCCCCCCCCCCCCCCTCGTTGCGCCACTCTTTGTAACTCCATGATCCTACTGGTGACAGAGATTTCCATGTCCGTTTCCTTGGCAAACTCAACAACTTAAAAATTGATCGTCGATATGAATGTGCAGAGCTCCGTCCGCGAAAGTCCAGCCAATAAAAGATATTTATTTAACATAGGTGGCCAATCGAATCCACTTAAGAGAAGAAATACCCCCGCTGAACCTCTCTTCCGGAATGGACAAGGAAATCGCTAGTTAAAAACTACATCAAAAAGGCACAAAACATTTAGATGGTTATCACTCGTGCTCTTGACAAAAGCAGTAAGGGAGAAATCAATCCGACTTACCATTAGATATGGCGACAAGACCTTCAAGAAAACAAGAACTTCGAGAAATAAAAGAAAAAGTCTAAGGTCTTCAGCCGTCTCTCACAGTGGAGAAATTCTTAAGGATCCTAGATGAAAAGCATCCTGGTCGTCTCCGTTGGCTTGGAAAATAACCATAGAAACCCCAAAATATTTACGAGATAACCCGAATATACTCGTTCTGAATAGTTCAAACTCATAATGAGTAACCAAAGTAGCACAATAGGTCTTAAAAGACAACTGAGCTTGCTGCAGCTCATCTCACGAATTCAGCATATGTCAGCTGTACATTTGCTAAATGATTTTACGGGAGAGCCAAAATACTACATGCATGGAAAAATGCTTACTCTGCATCTGATGTATGACGATATGACACAAATGGAGCTACTCTCGTACGATTTCAGGTCAACACCGTGTAAATCCTCGAAACTGCGCTGAATAACTGGAACTGCGAGGTTCTAAAGCTCTACCCACTTTATTCTGTTGCGTAATTTAGAATCCTGTAAATAGCAGCCGGACTATGAACTTTGTCGATCGTGCTTCTGCATAATGAACCTGTCCGTAGTCCACCCATGTGCCAGACAAAACGTCCAAGTACAGAAACTGCCATACTGCTTTGAGCTTATGACCAACTAAGTACCGTCTAGATGGTTTCATGTCCTTAGAGACATCCAGTACCAACGCCTTGAATTTAATCACATGCGCAACCATAGCTTTCACCGCAGTTATCGTGCAATGCATTAGACATACGCTGCAATTCTGTTGATGTCAGGAGCGTAAGCATCAAGTCATCAGCTCAGAAAAGGCAGTGCATGCTCAAGTTCTGCAACTCAGGAGCATCGTTGCCAAAGTCAGGTCATCAGCCAGGAGGGTAATTAGGTTTTCAGAGCAAAGGGGAGGGAGTGACGGACAGCAGCTAAAAGTAGGTAGCTAATTAATAGCGACGCATATCCTTTCGAGCAATGACCGTTTCTTTTTAGGCAAATGTGAGCCTTGTTTTGTTGTGCATCTTGTATTACAGTACCGCAACATCTGTACCCACCGATACATAGTGCTTTGCGGCAAAGTTGATCCACCATGTACAGCCCGAAGTCGATACATCAAGTCCATCGCTGGTACATTCGCCTAGAATTCCATGATGGCGAGCTGCTTTCTTTTCTTGTACACGTTTTCTTACGTTGCTCTTTCCTGCTGACGCAATACGCAGTGCACTTACTCTCGGGTGATTGAGATCCATGTCAAAAGAACATATACAGAGTTGTCATAAAATAAGGGGTAAACTTTAACCTGCAGTAACTACGGAATGGCTTGACAGAATCCCCTTATATGCATGTAGCACTTGACGGGGTTTAATTTACAGGTAGGCTTTAGGTTCACATCCACAGGTGTGACAGGTCGCCCAGGCCTGTAAATGGACACGGACCCAATCCACCAGAAATACTCCATGCTGTCAGACACTATATGCCTCATGTCACGGCGAGAGCCTGATGACACGTAGTATCGTAGTGCGTATGTGCACTGCATTTCCATGAACCGGTTTCTCGCAACTTTTGCATCCCCTTTCGTAGATTAATGTGTTCTGGAGAACACTTGATCACACAAATGACAAGGAAATTTGATTCCTCCTGGGATGGGCGGGGAAGATATTTACGACCGTCCTTACCTGTAACATCGGCGTCCTTCAAAAACCAGTTTAAGAAAATTGATGGCGCCTGTAGGACTCGAGGTCCGGTTTGCCCCGTGTCTCCATTCACCAGTTTCGTCCCTGTCTCGCCTTCCCTGCGTAGTGCAAAACGTGTGATGCTCTGACTCGCTCGCGAGAGTCTCAGCTGCCTGGTTAGTTCTTAGCTCTTGACTTATCTCGCCGATTGGGTCGCGGCTCCTTTCTCTAAGCGAGTCTTCCACTACCCGCAGTTCTGCCCTTACGATCGAGTTCTGCAGGAAAGAGAGAGCGGCAGGAATGGAGAAGACAGAGGGGCTCTCCCCACAACAGCGAGCTCTGGTACTGCACTTCCTCCTCCAGTCTAGGACTACTACCGTACTTTCTAGTAGATCTATAGGAACTTGGATAGTTTGTGCCGACGGATCCTCTAGGAAGAGAGAAGTAACCGTAACTGCATAATGCGTAACTGCAACCTTTTAACTTTCCTGACTGGTTCTATTCGAGCAGGTTGCTTTTTTCTTACCATCTGAGTTCATTCTTCAGCTGCGGCAGAAGAAGTCCCCCAGAGTCCATGCGTAGTGTCTCGATGACTTGGTAAAAGGTCATCCATCCATTAAATACAGAATCCATTAAATTTATCAGAAGAGGAAACGGAAACAGCTGAAAAAGATATTCGAGATAGACAGCGCCGTACTGAGGATATTCGGCGCCCTGTGCGAGATATCAACCTGCCCCCCATCTATACCTCTCCAGCTTCCCCAGCACCAATAATATATTACATATTAATTTCTATGTTTAATTTAATTAAATTCAGGGTAATTTGAAAATTTTAAATACTTTTATTCATATTTTTTTGTGATTTGGCTGACAATCGGCGGCCCTTCAAGTCGGCGCCCTGTGCGAACGCACCGCTCCCAGCCCCCTCAGTACGGCTCTGGATGATACAATTTAGTTTCAGCAAAACGTATATCAAATGCAACAGCTTTCTCCATTCGATGAATATCTTTCGAATGCTCGAATATCTCGATGACCGTGTCCGATGCATGGAATACTGTACATAATAAATCTCTTGCAATCGTGAACGCCCTCGTCTAAAACACGCCTTTATGAAGACAGGCATCTCGGGTTTCATAATGATTGACCTGACACGTTACAGTACCTCGAGAAGGGTTACCTCGTAATCGAAGACTTCCTGACGGAGACGGAAGTGGTGGACCTGATGGAAGCATGCAGTCGCATAGTCGATAGCATCGACCCGGAGGAGAAAGCTGTTCGATTCTCCACCGTCAATCAGGTCCAACGTCTGGTGCGGAAACTGGTCCCTATTTCTAGGTCGTACCTCCCCGACGTCTTTTTTTAAAGTCTGGAATGCGTCTCGTGCGTACAGGAAGAGAAAGAGGGGTACTTCATCACTAGCGGGGACAAGATCCGCCATTTCTTCGAAGAAGATGCTTTGGACGAAAACGGTCGCCTAAAAGTGGACAAGGCTCTGAGCATCAATAAAATCGGACATGCCCTCCATTGGTTGGATCCCGTCTTCAAAAAATACACCTTTTCCGAGAAAGTGAAGAATTTCGCGAAATCCCTGGATTACGTACGTCCCATGGTCGTCCAAAGCATGTACATTTTCAAACAGCCAACTATGGGAGGCTACGGTAGGCCGAGCAGTTCGTCGCAGCCTCAGGATATTTGTCCGACACTCGGTTCGATATACATTTTTTTTTAATTCGCAGTGATTCCTCACCAAGATTCCAGTTACCTGTACACAGAGCCACCTACGGCAATGGGGTTTTGGTTGGCCTTGGACGACGCCACTCTCGAGAATGGGTGCCTTTGGTTCTGGCCGGGTTCACATCTCAAGGTATGCACACCGACCCGTGCAGGGATTTTTGCACAGTGTAGCAGAAGCATGCATGTTTTTATTTCGTCTGATGGTCCTCCGGCCGCAAATTCCAGTTCCCGGAAATGAAGAGAAGATTCGTGAGATACACGGACGAAAACGGAAAAGTCCGTGTGACCTACAAGGGCGACGAGGACAATAAAGTGCCGGAATCGGAGTGGGTCCCTGCGCCCGCCAAACGGGGTAAGTAACCTCATCATCGCTTTTTAAAGCGATTAAGGGCTTAAAAGCCTTCACATTCATGCTTGTTCGCATCGAAAGTTTGAGAATTTGTCCCTGGCGCAGGTTCGTGCGTCCTCATTCACGGAGGGGTGTATCACAAGAGCGAGAAAAATCTTTCGCCGAAGTCTCGCCATGCCCACACGTTCCACATCATCGAAGGCGCTACGTCGCAATGGTCGCCCGACAATTGGCTTCAACCGACGGATCAAGTCCCGTTCATCCCACTTTACGAGAACTGAACGCATCGTTTCGTTCGCCTCGAATGCCTTCCGATTCGATTTCATGCTGTTTCGTTGCATGGTCAGTAAAAGGATTCGTACCCACTGCCTCGATGGAAATTTCTCCAAAAGAGAAAGCCGCACGAGGGAGTCGAGTCCATGTGGCTCAGTCACGGAGCTTATGTAAAAGCCGGCCAGGGCATGCTGTGGAGGGAAGCGGTCCGCACGGCAGCCATGTTGGGAACTCAGTGACGGGTCTAGGAGGGATTTGAGGGGTTCAAATCTCCCCTCATTGTGACTGTCACCATCAATGACAGTCTTAAAACGCAGAAAATTTCGAGTTGATCTCTCTCCCCTAGGCCTTTCGCTCAGCACTAGGGCTGTTACAATATATCGATGTATCGATACCACTATCGGTGATTGGAGGTATCGATAGCTTTTTTCGACCATCGCAATGCATCAGAAAAAGATTTTAAAGGGGAAATGCCCCATTGGATGGAGGCGAATACGGTACGATACAGTCCATCTGTGTAGGTAAAGAATGAGGCGACGTGACCCGTAGGCGAGCTATTTCTTATGACGGTCAAATTCTGGAAATGCTGGACTGACTATGGAAGACAGATAAAGGTCCGCGCTCTGATCGAGGCTAGAAAAGATTGAATCCTCCGGCGAACCCCCCCTCCTTCGATGCATCGGTACACTATCGATTGTTTAGGTCGATGCATCGATGTTTTGAAAACTGCTATCGTGACAGCCCTACTCAGCACACTCACCCTCGATGCTTCTGCCCTCAGACGCCTTCCTAACTGAAAATCCAAGACTCGTCACTGGCCTAACTTACTAATTGGAAGTTTGCAGACCCTAAGGGTGGATTTTTTAAACTGAGAACTAAGATTCAGTAACACAAGATATTCCAGCAACGTTTAGGAAATGTTGATGAACAATGTTGCATCTATGTGTAAATGTCCAAAAACGTCAACGTTGCTCAAATGTTGCGAAGGAACAAAGAAACCCCAAAATATTTACGAGATAACCCGAATATACTCGTTCTGAATAGTTCAAACTCATAATGAGTAACCAAAGTAGCACAATAGGTCTTAAAATTAAGGAACGCTCGACCTCGACACGTGATATCGAAATGGGCAAAATCGCCTCTTGATATCACTAAATCTTGAATCGAGGGTGCGGGATGCAGAAAGATATGAGCAAACGACCTGCGAGCGAGGCTAGAAAGGGACAAGGATGAGAGGTGAAAGGTGAAGGTCACGCTAGTCACATGTGGTTACTCCCTGAAGTAAAGTGAAAAAGGAAGCGTCCTGCACATGTGACGCTACTGAATTGCTGTGAAAAAGGAAGAATGACGACTCGGATGGAAGGTCTTAATCGCGAAAAAGGTCGAGGAATTTCTAGTTGCATGCCTGCGCAGTGAAATCTGAGCTGAATCCCGAAATTAATTTTGTTCATCTTTGGGTCTTTTTCAGATAGCGAATGTGCATTTATCAATTACAGCTGAAATTCCGTTTTCACCATTGCATACAATTTTTCTTCGTTTCATTTTCGATGTTCGCGCGTTCGACGTCGCTTCGCGTTTTTGTTGTGAGTCCTGTAAATCCTGTGAAATCCTGTAAATCTTCTGATGATTTGATAAATGCCTTCTTGCATTCAGAGTCATTTGAAGGACAGGTCATAAAAAATTTCCCGAGCGACCCCCCCCCTCCCCAATCTTTAGAACTGCTTGTGCCACTGGTTACTAAGGAGTAATTCCATGAGCCTATTGGTGCAAGTTTTTGTCTCGAATCTGCTAACATCAGCAGGCTCGGATGTCGAAACAGCCTCTCGGTTGACGGTTCTTTTGTACCATAAGTACGAGAACTTGAATTCTTCTCTTATGTATTACTGGAAACTATGAGGTAAGTAACTCGTTTAGATTCATTCTAAGGAATAACCAGTAACAGACTACAACGAGGCTGCATTGTTGCTGCCTCCAATTCTGTGAATAACTACTGTGATTCGACTTATAAATCTTTCCACCAGCCGGAAGTTATCATCCAGTCTGCAGTAACAAAATTCTGGGACTGAAGCAGTATGCTCCCAATCGATCTGGCCATCTGCACTGATTGAAAATGGCTGATTTGATTGGAAGTGGATGAAATCCTGATCATCATGAAGAACGGATACATGAATTTACTTTCTCGATGGGAAGTCTTCGTCGAAGCCGAAGTCGAAAATTCGCTCGCTCTATCATTTCATTCCAATCCGATATCAGTCCAGATCAGTGGCGTGCCCAGGAAATCCGAATGGAGGGGGAGTCGTCATATGAAACACTGATTACCTACCCTAATGGGGGGGGGGGGGGGGTTAACATGAAAAACCTGATATTTGTGTCCAAAGAAAAAATTTTTTGAGAATCGAATCTGTAAAATTGATCCCAAGGGGGTGGTTATGACCCCCAAACCCCCCCCCCCCCCTCCTTGGGCACGCCACTGGTCCAGATGAATCCTTCATCTCATCATTCCCTTTCGAATATTTTCTTCCTGGCGCCTTTATCTCAAATACCTCTGCCTCAGGAAGGAAGCTAAGAGAAGGAAAAGAAGAGCTTATTCCATGATTCGTAGGAGGAGGCTGCCTTCGACTAAAAGTTACAAATACCTAGGAGCAGACCCTTGTCGAAGCGAATGTAAGTAGGCAACTAGGATATGCTGAAAAAAAAACCCACAAAAATACAAAAATATGCAGCTTTAAGAGGAGTAGGCCTACCCTAAAATTAAGGAACGCTTGACCTCAACGCGTGGTATCCAAATGGGTGTTATCGTCTCTTGATACCAATAAACTACCTTGATACCTTGAAATGTCTCTTTCATGCCCTGCAGGCACATCCCCAGGGTCTCGCCACTTCCAACTGAGAAAAGAAAAGCTAGGCAGCTTAAGTACCGTGCTTAGGCTATTAGCGAAGAGATAGTCGAAACAAGGCTATAGCGGGAAACAATGCCGTATTTAGGGGGGGGGGGGGATGCACAACCGTTCATGGGGTTCAACCCCCCCCCCCCGAAATTTCTTCTTTAAATTTTTGCCATACCGCTATTCGTCGGTGTAAACGGTGCAATACTTGGTCCTTTCTATCTTTAATAGCTTATGACTTACTAAACACTGCAACTTACAGGAAAATCCAGATATGTCAAAAAGACTTACAATGACAAGCATAAAAAAATAGCCACAGCGCGTACGCCAGACCTCATCCCCCCCGAAATGAAATCCTAGATACGGCCCTGGCGGGAAAGGATGGGAAGGCTAGTGGCATGAGTCACGGGTAATATTCTCCGAGTTGACCTCTACCAGCTTTACAGCTTTAATTTGGGGGGATGGTGTGTCAAAACTCAGTCTAGCTGGGATGCCATCCCGCCGCACTCCCCCAAAGCTCTGTAAACTCCTTAGTTATGACTCCTCGAGACCCACTAAGTTCTATCTGGACACCTTGTATTTAACTATAGTATGGCAGTTTTATAGAATATTTTCCTTGAAGGGTTGAGGGGTGGGGGGAACGCAAATGCAACAAGAACTCCTCTCTCCCGCTTCAAAAACTCAGGTTTGGTTGCACAACCGGCTCGATGATGAGCAGACGTAAAAAAAATCACTGCTCGGAATCCTGGAATTTAGTTTCGGCAGCAGTGATTGGCAACACTGTCAGTCGCTGTTGTATTTGAAAATAGTATGGCGCTTCTGCTGGGGAGAGCGTGTTTGCCCTGGCTAGCTGATGTATGCGTAGGCGTAGGTCATGAATCGACTAGAGTAGACCTAGGAAGGTCTAAGTGACAAGTTCCGTCTGATGACGAAGTGTCCTGCTGTTTAATGTTAGATTAGGCTAGAGGCCTTGATTGAAGGTAGCCGATTGTTAGCAGATAAACCCTAACGGATCTAATGTTAATTTTTAAACCCAAGATAGTGGATATATAGTAATTATGCGAAAGTCGAGCCCGTTTCCTTAGTACAATGACGTGCTACACAAGAGAGGCTCCATACTGAACAAATGCTTCACGCAGGGTCGTGAGTGTGTTTATCTGTAAAAGTTGGATTGTGATCTACAATATCAGCTTGAAAGCCTGTGCATCATTAGTAATGATATCGCAAGAAGCATTAAATGCAATAATATATTTGGACGCATGAATTGAACCAACGGCGTGAAAGCCGACCCTGCGGTTCCTCAAAGTCGGGCCTGTGATTGTGCTTCCTAGCCTCACTAAGCATCCACCACCCAGCGCGAAGGTCTTAGCAAGCCTCTATACGCACGCGCCGCTCGCTGTGTTGGCTTGCAGAGCCAGGAATGACTGATTTTGGACAGACTGCATATTCCCAGCATAATTGCCTGAGAGGTACCTCCAGGAGGGAGGTTCAAAGAGGGGACTAGCTGGATATTGCTTGACAGTCAAACTTGATTAGAATATCCATGGCCATTGATATAGATCATAGGCTGACCATGGAAAGATACATGTACGGTTAGCACAACTAGAGAAGTGGCGTTGTACATATGAATGCAGAATTCCCGACCTTAGGTGTGTGCTTCACTTGCCTATGCCTACAACTAGGGATCGACTTTCAGAGACCCTCACCGCGATTCTGTCCAGAAAACCAACCCTCTAAAATAATCAAATTCCAAGAATATAATGATGTAACCATTTCTTACAGCATACTCTTCAGTTACCTTAGAACACTATATTTACGACCATCAATGCTTAGAGCCACCAGTAAGTACCACAACATAATATATACCAGGGACATTTGTAACCA